CAGTCCCTACAATGTAACAGCACTCATCCCACTTACCCCCTCTGTTTACCATTTTCTATTCACCTTTCTTTCCTATCCTGTGGTGGTTATGTTTGTGTGTCAACTTGGCTGGGCCTAGGTTGAGTGGCTGGGCAGCTAGTGGTAGTTATTCCCCATGATGAGACTGGCAATCAACTCCATGATGGGATCTACCACAGGCAGCCGAGTAGCTGCCTTTGGAATGTTGCCTGCTTCCTGTATATAAGCAGCAGCTTTGGGAATAGTCTCTAGCATATGGCACGCTTGGACCCTGCATGTGGCCATGTCATTGTTCAGCAGCCTGCCATGCTCTGCCGACCTTAGGACTTACAATGAACTTGAACTAATTGCCTACTGTGTGGTTTGGTAACATCAGGACTGTGCCTTTTTACTTGTCAACCTTGGGCTTGTCAGCTTCAGCAGCCAGCAGCTGTCTGAGTGAAAAAACCCCTCTAGCTCCAGTGGGCTGGGAGCAGGAGGCCGAACTGGACCCCAAGGTTGAGGGGCTTTCACCCAGCCCCTAGAACCTGGCACTTTGAACTCGGACTTAAAGCCTCCAAACTGTGAGAATAAACTCCTGGTTCTTAAGGCCATCCCATTTGTGGTATATTTCTGTCAGAGCAGCACCAGGGAACCAGAATATAGCCCTTCCTGGCTTTTGAGCTTTATTCCTGGGCAAAAGCTGCCCTTTTGATCTCCTGTGGTTGGTTGTTCTTAGAAGCGTGGTGCCTCCTTGATGTTATTGTTCACGTTATGGGCCTGTCTGTTGTTTGGCTGATAGCTAGCTCTTAGACATTCTTCAAGCCTGGAACTAAACTCAAGACTGTTTCTTTAACAATCATATCTTTCTTAGGAGGTGTTTTGGTTACCTAGTGCCATTCTAACAGAAATATACCACAAGTGGGATGGCTTTAACAAATGGGAGTTTATTCTCTTACAATTTTGGAGGCCAGAAGTCTGAGGTCAAAGTGCCAGGCTTTAGGGGCTGGGTGAAAGCTCCTCGACCTTGGGCCTCAGCTCTGCCTCTTGCTCCCAGCCCACTGAAGCTGGAGGCTTTTCTTCACTCAGACAGCTGCTGGCTGCTGATGCTGACAAGCCCAAGATCGATAAATAAAATGGCACAGCCCTGATAGTACCAAACCACACAGCAGGCCACTGATTCAAGTCCTGAAAAAGTCCCAAGATCGGCAGGGCAGCATGGCAGGTTGCTGAACAACGACTCAGCTACATCCAGGGTTCAAGCAAGCTTTACGCTAGAGACATTCCTCAAAGTTGGTTCTTACATACTGGATGCAGGCCACATCCCTACAGCAGCTACTCAGCTAGTCCAGTAGCCCACCATGGAATTAATTACCAATCTCACCATGGTGAATAACTACAGCCAGCTGCCCAACCACTCAAAACCAGGCCCAGCCAAGTTGACATGCAACCTTAACTACCACAGGAGCAATTACGGAGCTCTGGTGGTGTAGTAGTTAAGGCTTTCAGCTGCTAACCAAAAGGTCAGCAGTTTGAACGCTCCAGCTGCTCCATCAGAGAAAAATGAGGCATTCTGCTTCCATAAAGATTTGCAGCTTTGGAAACCCTATGGGGTCATACTGCTCTGTCCTATAGGGTTGCTAATGAGTCAGAATTTACTTAATGGCAGTGGGCAGGTTTAGGAGGAATTACCTCAGAAGAAGGTAACCAAGTAGCATAAACTACTGACTAGAGATTTAACTGAACTAGATAATAAGCTCCTCTTTTAAAATGCAAATAGAACTCTCTGGGTAATAAAGGCCTATCGGTCATTCCTATCTTTTAGTATACATTACTTATATTACTACAGGTTTGGCTTGAGTGAGGAGGGGAAGGGAAGAAGAGGTAATTCTGTACTCCACAGGAAATTTCTAGAAAGAGTAAGCCTTGAAGACAGAAGGAATTTCACCTCAGCTAGGTTTTTGAATACCAGGGATATCTGAAAAATGGGCTGCAGAGCTTGATAAAAGGAGCACAGAGGAAAGACAGGCATTCAACGAGGATACATTTTTATTACTCTATAGTAGCAGCAACTGTAGGAGCTCTGGTAGCATAGTGCCTAAGGCACTTGACTGCTAACTAGAAGGCTGGTGGTTCAAACTCACCAGCCACTCCTCAGAAGGAAGGTTGGGCAATCTACTTCCGTAGTGTTACTGTCTCGGAAGCCCAAGAAGGGGTCGCTATGAGTCGGGTCCAACTCGATAGCACATAACAACAACAGCAACTATGCTGTATAATTTTAGAAACTGTCTCTCTGCTGCTTCCTTAGCAAAAATTAGTGATATTGGCTTTAGCTGCTTGGTTCTTGTGGTTGTTCTGCTGTTTGGTACTAGTTTGATCATCTAAGTCTACTTGCTATATGCAGTAAATGCTTTCATTTAGTGTAATTTTTTAATACGATGTTTGACTTAACTGGGAAATGCCAGATTACATACAGATTATACATTTTCAAGGAGTAATCATCTAACCAAACATACTGTAACCAAACCAAACCAAACCTACTGCCATCGAGTCAACATCACAGCCAATTTATAAGACAGGGTAGCACTGGTCCATAGGGTTTCCAAGGCTGTAAATGTTTATGGAAGCAGACTGCCTCATCTTTCTCCTGTGGAGCAGCTGCTGGGTTTGAAACACTGACAGATCTTTTGGTTAGCAGCTGAATATCTTAACCACTGCGCCATCAAAGCACCTCAAACATACTGAAGCTATGCTAAAAAGTATTAGTGTTAGATTTTTATTACACGAACATTAAAAACAAACAAACAAACAAACAAACTCATTGCCGTCAAGTCAAGTCCGACTCATAGTTAGCCCTCCTTGGGTTTCCAAGGTAGTATCACTACGTAAGTATACTAACAGAAAAGAACAAATATTAATCTGAAAAGATTGCTCTTTTCAGAAGCATCATTTATTTTCAATGTCTTCTGTTCTCCTTCCAATTCATGATTATGTATGCTTACAGTTAAAAACACAGTGAAGATACAAAATTGTGCTGTTTTTACTTACAATTTCTGTACATATTAAACACATATTAGACTATTGGGTAGATATGTTGTTATTTTGATATTTCCCCATTAAACACTGACATTTTTCTCATTTTTTTATTGTCTTAGTTAATGAACATCTTTATTCCTACAGAATATTTCTCTTCTTTTGAACATTTTATTAGGATAAAGTAGCAACAATGAGATTACTGGGCTGAAGAGAATAAGAATTTGTATGTCACTGGATATCTATTACCAAATTGTCCTAATAGATTCTGTTCCCAGGAGTAGTACATGAATGTGATAGTTTTGCTCCAGTACTTTCTTTCTTTCTTAGAGATTAATTTTGAAAAAAGATTCATAAAAAAATCTTTTTATTCTTTCTCTTATTAAAATTGCCTCTTCCTATTTTTTGCCTAAAGTGCCCTGGTGGTACAATGCTTAAGCACTCAGCTGCTAACCCAAAGATTGGTGGTTTGAACTCACCAACCACTCCACAAGAGAAAGATGTGGCAGTCTGCTTCCATAAAGACTTACAGCCTTGGAAACTCTATTGCTATGAGTTGGCATTGACTCAATGGTAGTGGATATTCTTCTGTTTATCATTGGCTTAATTCACCATGTTGAATTTGACATAAGTATCTTAGCAATTTAATATTATCTTGATGCTAAGAATGCTTCTTCCTCCACATGCAGAAATGTTTAGTAAAAATTTCAGATTAGTATATGACTTAGGCTGGGTTCCCTAGAGGAGCAAAACCAGTGAAGCATATTTAAGTATATATATCTATATCTATACAGAGAGAGAGAGAGACAAAGAGATTTATTTAAGGAAATGTCTTATGCAGTTGTGAAGGCTGGCAAGTTCCAAATCTGTGTGTCAGGTGTCAAGCTGGAGGCTTCTTCTGACTCATGTGGTTGCAAGATCTGACAAACCCAAAATCTGCAGGTAAGATATCAGCCTGCTGGTTCACAGGGATGCCAGTATTGGCAAATCCCAAAATGTGCAGGTCAGGCAGCAAGCTGCTAGCCTATGTGCTAAGAACTGGAGGTTAGATCATGAAGAGTTGGATGCAGGATTGAGAAAAGGAGAGAGGGAGCAAGAGAGAGCTTTGCCAGAATATCCATATGTATTGGATGCAGGCCACGCCTCCAAGGAAACTCCCTTTACATCAGATCACAAGATAGGAGATAATTACATAATACTGAGAATCATGGCCAAGCCAAGTTGATATATAACATTAACCGTCATAACATACTTCCAAATAAGCTTATCATTGGTTTGCTTCTTCCTTTGAAATATGTTTCAAGTGATGAAATGGGTAGTTTGATAATGCTCAATTACTAACCACAAAGAAGAAAACATAGGAGATTTGATTTAGCATGATTTTTATATATGAATTGTTATTATAATTTTAATGTAGGATATTTTTTAAAGTGTTATGCTAAACTGACCTTTGAAAAAAAACGTTAATAATCACAACAGCAGCGCTGTTCTTTTGTTGCTGTTCAGTATTTTCTATATGCAGGTTGAGTTGCATACCAGTAGATGGCACTAATTACATGAACAATTCAAGACGTTAATGAAATGCGTGAGATAATTTTTTGTTGTTCATATTTTGGTGCATGTCACATTTTCAACAATTATATTGAACCTTATTTTTATAGTTTCCTCTCTCCCATGATAAAAACAATTAAGCCCAGTTTATTTCTAATTAATTGCTATTAAATTTAAATACCAGATATTGGTTATTGCTCAAGATGCTGCTGCATTTGAAAAGTTTTGTGAGGAAAAGTGGGCTAGCTTATCATGAATGACTAAATTGCATGGTCGGTTAAATCAATCAGGTAGACATGCTCTGACCTGACTATTCAGAAGCTATTTATGAACATTTTTCAGAAATTCCAACTAGAAATTTCAAGCAAAAACTAAAAATAAAACTTGACATTCATTCTCTTTCCCATACACATCTACAGCTGTTGGCCAAAGACCTCCGGCAGTGGCAGATAAACGTAGACGTGGCAAATGACTTGGCACTGAAACTTCTCCGGGATTATTCTACAGATGATACGAGGAAAGTACACATGATCACAGAGAACATCAATGCCTCTTGGGGAAGCATTCAAAAAAGGTATGCATATCGTATTATAATAAATAATATAAATAATATCTTATTTCTAAAATTATTCTTGGCTATAATGATGGGCTGGGAGCTCTGGTAGTATAGTGGCTAAGGCACTTGACTGCTAACCAGAAGGCTGGTGGTTCAAACCCACCAGCCACTCCTCGGAAGGAAGATGGGGCAATCTACTTCTGTAGTGATACTGCCTCGGAAACCCAAGGAGGGTCGCTATGAGTCAGGTCTGACTCGACGGCACATAACAACAACAACATGATGATGGGCTAGTGAAAGTGAATGTAAACTGCAAATTTGTTTTCCACATCCTGCTAAACTGAGACTTGGAAGGTTTCAAGATGATAAATGCCAACTAAACTCACAAGCTTGGTTCAGTCTTCTTATTTTAAAGATGAGGAATCTAAGGTATGATGAGATTAAATGATTTGCTACAGTCATAAGCTATTGACAAAAGGAAGAGATTAGACAAAAACAAAAGAGACATGTCGAGCCGGGAGAGCCATTTGTCAGACTGCTTTGAGGACTATATCCAAAGAAATATCTTTCTATTCCATCATAGTCTGGGCTCTCCCATCCTTAATCTGATTAAGGAGTCATTTGGGGCTTCATGATGGAGTTACAGCTGTCCATATTGCCATCATTGTAGACATCGTTTGTATGTATTGTATATATATATATCCATTCACCCAATTGTATACATCATTGTATCTCACTCCATACACCCATATAGGGTAATATGGCTCATAGGTTCTTTTCACATTATATATCCATGACAATTGATAGGTCTTAGAGAAATCATATCCTCAGACTAGGTCAAATAAAAGATTAGATATTTATTATCCACTGTCTTAACCCCTTGTGCTTTTTTTTCATCAGCACTTAACCAACAAGGAATAGAAAGGATTCATTAGCTAACTAATTGTTTAATGTTTGCTTTCCATATTATTCTCAATTCCGTGAGCAGAGGTTGGAAGTGTTTTATTTGACACATCCCCAGGTCCCAAACCAGTGCTTTGTATATATAATAGGAAGATGGTAAATATGTATTGAATGATGATTCCCTTTGCATAATGTAGAGTTACATTTTGCATGCTGTAGTAAGTTAAGGATTGTTGCATGCTAATTTTGAGATGAGGAGCTCTGGCAGCATAGTGCCTAAGGCACTTGACTGTTAACCAGAAAGCTGGCGGTTCAAACCCACCAGCCACTCCTCAGAAGGAACATGGGGCAATCTACTTCCGTAGTGATACTGCCTCAGAAACCCAAGGAGGGGTCACTATGAATCAGGGCCGACTTGATAGCACATAACAACAACAACAACAACAATTTTGAGATGAGTCAGAAAACAGAGGTCAATAATACCTGTACAATGATGAGGAAGACAACAGTGAAAGGTAAGTAAACTCCAAAGGATGACATGAATTATTGAAGAATAAAAAAAGAAAAGGCCACCAGTGAAAGAAAAAAAAAAAGATTTTAAACTAAGAACTAAGAGCAGGAAGTCTTAGGAGTAACAAGTTATTGGTATATGGAAATTGAGAGATCATGTAAATCTTGATCCTGAATTAAAGACTGAAAAATGAAAATTCTTGTAAAGCTTCATCCAAACTGGTGACACTGGAGAATAGAACTGCTCTAGTTTGGAATTCCAAATAGTGAGTGTTCAGATGACCATGAAAAAGAACATTCAGCCTGAATTTGGATGCTGCATCTGGGGCCCTATCAAAAGGACCATGCTAGAGAGAGGGTAAGCTTTAATGTTGTTTTTGTTAGGTGCCATAGAGTTGGCTCTGACTCATAGTGACCCATGTACAACAGAACGAAACGCTGCCCTGTTCTGTGCCAGACTCAAAATCCTTGCTATACCTGAGTCCACTGTTGCAGCCATTGTGTCAGTCCATCTTGTTGAGGGTCGTCCCCTTTTTTGCTGACCCTCCACTTTACCAAGCATGACATCCTTCTCCAGAGAACAGTCCCTTCTGACAACATGATCAAAATAAGTGAGACAAAGTCTGGCCATTCTCACTTCCTAGGAGCAATCTGGATGCCCTTCTTCCAGGACAGATCTGCTAGTTTTTCCAAGTCAATGGTACTTCCCGTATTCTTCCTCAACACCACAACTCAAAAGCATCAACTCCCCTTAGTATTCCTCATTCATTGTCCAGCTCTCACATGAATATGAGGCGATTGAAAACACCATGGCTTGGGTTAGGTACACCTTAGTATTCAAAGAGACATCTTTGCTCTTCAACATTTTAAAGAGGTCTTTTGTTGCAGATTTGCCAGCACAATAATACATTGTCTGATGCCTTGACTGCTGCTTCCATTGGTGTTGCTTGAGGAACCAAGTAATATGAAATCTTTGACAACTCCAATCTTTTCTGCATTTATCATGAGGCTGCTTATTGGTCCAGTTGTGAGGATTTTTGTTTTCTTTATGTTGAGGTGTAATCATACTGCAAACTGTAGTCATTAATCTTCATCAGTAAGTGCTTCAAGTCATCTTCACTTTCAGCAGGCAAGGTTGTGTTATCTGCATATCTCAGGTTGTTAATGAGTCTTCTTCCAATCCTAATGCCGCATTCTTCATATAGTCCAGCTTCTTGGATTATTTGCTCAGCCTACAGATTGAACAAGAATAGTGAAAGGATACACCCTGATGCAAATTTTCTGATTTTAAATAATTCAGTATCTCACTGTTCTATTTAATTACTGCCTCCTGGACTAAGTACAGATTCATCATGTGCAAAGCTAAGTGTTCTGGAATTCCCATTCTTCTCAATGTTATCCATAATTTGCTATGATTCTCACAATCGAATGCTTCTGCATAGCCAATAAAACACAGGTAAGCATCTTTCTGGTATTCTTTGCTTTCAGTCAAGATCCATCTGACATCAGCAATGATATTCCTTGTCCCACATTCTCTCCTGAATCCAGCTTGCATTTCTGGAAGTGCCCTGTCAATATACTGCTACAATCATTTAGCAGCAGACTAAACCATTTAGGTTCCAGACTAAGACAGACTTAGAACAAGGAAGGGGCCATCTACTTCTCAAATAATTGACCAGTGACAACCTTATGAATAGCAGTGAAATATGGGTCTGATATATTAAGCTTTAATGTAAGACTGATACTGGGGAAAAAAATCTCAAAATTACTGCCTTCTCTGAGTGGCAAGGTCTGGATGTTCTGCTCCAAATACAGATGTGGAATCTCTTTGTTTAGTTAAAGAAGGATAGTTTAGACTTGGGAAGACTGGTTCATATGAGATTGATTGGTATCCGAAACTCAATTGTTAAGTCTTAATGGGAAATACCTTTTTCTTCTCGGAAGGACAGTTGGGCAATCTACTTCCATAGTGATACTGCCTTGGAAACCCAAGGAGGAGTTGCTATGAGTCGGGGCCAATTCGATAGCACATAACAACAACAACAACAACAAAGATCAGAAAGCAAATTAAGATCATAAATTAATTTGGTGAGTTCAGAGAATGTAACCTAAGAAGAGGCCAAGAGGAAAACTTGTTCATGGTACAAAACTAGGGCTTCAGGAAACTGGTCTATCCCATTTATAGCACTCTTTCTGGAAGACCCCTCTCTCCACACACATTCCTTGATGTCCCAGGAGGCCCTCTCAGTTCTTTTCATTACTTTCTAAAGGTCTTTAGACTATTCAGGAGAATAACTTCTGATTTAACTGTTTTCAATATGTCTCTCAAAAGCTTTCAAATAAAGAAGATATAAATGTACTTTCCGAGTGGTAAAGTAAATTAGAATTTTAGAGGACAGCTTACATTTTTACCTAGTCTGTACATAATTTGCAATTTACCAAGCTAATTTTGACTCATGCCTCTAAAGTTCTTCCCTGTTTTTTTCTCATGTTACATACCATTTTAGAAAAAAATCCATCAACTTGTAGAATTTTACTGTGCTGATTACTAACCAATCTATATTTCCATCTGAGAATGCACTTCTGAGCTTCATATCAGTGTACCATACTGCTTCCTGTTCATTTTATTGTCCCACAGGAATTTCAAAACAGAATAGGTTCAAAGCTCAGCTCCTCTTTGGCCTCCTTCAACTTATTTCTCCAAATGCATACTTCTTTTCCTGTGGTCCCTATCTTAGTGAACATTGTTGTTGTTATGTGCCGTTGAGTCGGACTCAACTCATAGTGACCCCTCCTTGGGTTTCCAAG